ATATACTATAGAAACGATCGCGAGACTTTTGCACAGCACTCCCGATCATGGAATAATTACGAGAAACGCACATTAATATATCATATAAGGGATAAAGAAGTACGATTCGCTCTACAATAGTCGTAGCGAATTATATTTCAATACTAATCGCGATCGCGTTTAAAAAAAGAATTCAATAATACGAAGCGTTTTGTATTATTACTTTGCCGTTGGAATGTCGTGTGAATAATACAAGGTCGTCTATATATTTATAATTTTTGCCTCTTTTGTTTCAATTTTTATTTGGAATAATGAAGGATCACGTTTCGATGAATGTATTATCGCCATATAGTTTCATGTTATTTATTAAAAGTTAATTAATTGTTAATTGTAATAGTCGTAGCGAATTATATTTCGATATTAATCGTGATCGCACTGTTAGAAAAAGAATTCAATAATACGAAGTGTTCCGTATCACTACTTTACTACTGGAATGTCGCCGTGCGAATGATACAAGGTCTTCGCCTATGAAAACAATACAGCGCTACGTCATCAAGGCCGAACGTCGTGTTATTGACCTCGCTGCCGAAATATTTTTACGCGTATTATGACGTACATATACGAAAATTGAATTTATATACAAGTATATTTTTAAAGTCACACACACAGGTACACACAGATTAATTATTTATTAAACAATTAATATACATCACAAGGCTTTCCATTATGTTAATTATTCGATTTTGCTATTCGATCGTTTTACTGAGCTTTCTCAGACGAATTATATATTCGGCCTTAACGATGTAAACAATAGCACGCTAGTCTTACGGTCTTGGTATCATTCACACGGCGACACTCGAGCAGTAAAGATCGTGATGCGAAATACGTCGTATATTCTTAAATTAATTATTAATTAAACGATTATTGTATCATAACTTTCAATTATATTAAACTTTCGATTCTATAACATAGGCCTGCGAAAAAGGGGATCAAAAATGTTTTTTAAGATGCAATAGTGATTTTTGACGTAATTTTGTGCGCCGAATCTGGCCGCCGAATTTGCGTAGCACGTCAGGTTTTTGAATTATTTGTAGTTGAATAGCAGAAAAATCGCTATTTTGGCCAATTTCATGAATTTATTGTGAGTAAACCAAATTTTTTGAAATATTTCTGTCAATGGCATCGTACAGTACTCATCTTCATCTTTCGAATCCACTTTCGATTACCGCCGCATATTGATCGCGATCGCGTCTAGAAAAGGATTTAACGGAGCGTCTTGTACCACTATTTCACTCTTTGAGTGTCGTCGCGCGAATAATAATAGAGCCGAACAAATTGGTCTAAAAGACCGTTATTATTATTTTTTTACCGAAACATTTTTCAAGACTGTGGCATATAAACATTAGCGCGCTATTATTTATGCCGCCAAGGTCGGTGTTATTGTTTGTTCGTTATCAAAATATTTTACATATTTTAACATATGTATACATATATACATGAAATATATTAAAGTATATAGAAGTATTTAGATTACATAGATTTTTTAATTATATAATTATTTATTAAAAGATTGATGCATCATGGAGTTTTTCGTTATGTTAATTGTTTAGATCCACGATTCAATTGTTTTATTGAGCGTTCTCACAATTCGAATTATATTTCAATGATTGAAAAATAAAGTGATAAAACGTCGCAGACATTGTGTTCATTCGATTCTATAAATATCTATAAATATTAAAGAAATAATTTCTGCTCGTAAAAATCGATTTTATATCGAAATCATAATTTATTATTTTAGATTTCTATTACTATGATTCTTAGTTGATTAAATGAATAAATTACGAAATATGCGATTCGAGAATTTTCGTCGCGATATGTATATAGATATTAATTATGTGTTATTTATAAAAATTAATTAATCATATTGTTATAATAAATAATTTTCCGATGTTGAACGCGATTATATCTATAGAACAGAAATTAAACGGCGTATCATTATATTACATATTAGAAAATATTAAACAATAGGATATGAAATTATATAAATCTTTTTTTATTCACGCGATCTTTCTCAAATGTTAATATTTTATTCTTATATCGATATCTTCTAGATATTTTACTTTTGATGCTTTTGTTAATTATTGGCATCTGAAAAAAGATGGATAGAAAGTATTAACTAAAGATACATTATTAATAACTGAATTGCGGGATTATTGATATAAATGAATAAATAAATAAATGATGTTGAAATAAATAAATAAATAATAGCGTGAAAAAAGAGAACATACTAATATTATATTAACATACTAATAATATTTTTGTATAATAAATTATTATTAATTAAGTTATTTATATTTTTATTTATATTATTTATATTATTTATATTATTTATATTATCAGAGGGACATATATGTTATCCTCTGAGAACATTCGTTTTGGATTCGGACATTGGTTTTGTAGTTCATGTCCACGTTTTTAATGTCCAAAGAAAATATCGCTTCCAAGGATTACTTAAAAGCGGGCCATGACATCTCTGTCTTCTCTCTGTCGCTACGCACGTTCTGCACATATTTCTGCGCAAGGTGGACTGCGTATGCGCGAGTGCGCAACGAATATTTGAAATAAATAAAATATATATCAGAGAGAAGACAGAGATATCATGGCCCACTTTTATTTTTTTTTTTTGCCCCTGACAGTATTCTTTCTATTCTACAATTTGAGATTGGAAAAAATTACAAATTCTTAGCATTTATTTTTTATTTATATTATATTATTTATATTTGTATCTTATATCATTCTTAATATTATTATTTTATTTATATTTATTTCTTGTTTTGTAGATAAAAGAAAACTATCCAGGTAAAAATAGTCATTCTGACGCGATTTATATTAACGTGTCAAAATAACGTTAAAATGATTCTTTTTGCTAACTGGGCATATTGATATTAAATAAGCATATAAGAAAAAAATATAAGTTTGAAAAATAAAATTGTTTCTTCTTTCTCTCTTTTTACTAATCTCTTTTTTATAATATTTTTATAATCTTTATCTTTTTTATCTTTTTTATAATCTTTATCTCTTTTTATTAATCTTTTTTTTTTTTTATTAAACTGTCTTTTATTATTTTTCTATAATAGAATCCTTTAGATATCTTCTATAGGTTCTTTTAATCTTCATCTTACAATTAGTTAGTTATATCTGAAATAAAACAGACATAAATTTACGATTTAAAGAAAGAAAAATTCAATGATACAAATGTAAATAGCTGTCACAAGGAATAGATTTTGTGAAACTGAGATCACATCTTAAAATACGTAAAATATAAAACGTAATGCGATTATTATTATAATACATTTGAAATTTATTATTTGTACTATCAGTAAAACAAAATAAAATACATTAAATCAGGGGATCATTAATTCGCTAACAATAAATAATTCCAATATCATATCAATGCTTATTACGAATTTAATTATTACGCACTAAGTGTCAAATTTACGCTGCATTTTTAAAAAATACAGTTTCATAATAAATGTTGGTATTATTAGTATATCTCTGCATATGTGATCACTTGACATTTCGTATTAATGTTAAGTGAGACAGGTACATATAGCAGCAATAATATCGGAATTATATATATATATATTTTTTATTTTACTTTGACTATATAACTTTGTCACGATATCACAACGTCCATCGTGCATTGACTCTATCCGATATCTGGCTATCGCTATTATTGCTTTACCAACGCTGTAGATCTAACAACAGGTACGTGAAATAAATTATATATAACACTAGTGTGTATTTATTAAATAAGAGCGATGCGATAATACAACGCGTCTATTTATAATATTTGTGGCAGCATAAATATGCGCAATCTCGAAATCATACTCATTCGTTCGCTTGTCGTATCAGAAATGATCCGAAATTCAATATAATATAGATATCAATCATTTGCGTACGATGAAAAATTCGAGCGTACAATGATTGTGCCTACATTTATTGTTGCTTACAATTCGTGATGATAATATTATACGGGAGAAATTCCTTTGCCTTACGCAAATTGATATTTAATACGTTTTGTCAAAAGAAGACGCAGCCACTTTGCATATTAAATGCAACATTAAATTGTTGTGAAAGTATAAGCGTAACAATAAGTGTGAAAACATCTACAACTATCGCGATACAAGTTGAATGAATAAATATGATCAGATTATTGTTATGTGAAAATTAAGAACCGATTGGATCAACATCATTATTCATTGTTAACACTAATAACAATTAATTGAATTAATTGGATCCATTCTCTATTTGTATTATAAACACAATAATCTGATAGAAATTTTTTACCACAAAAAAATCAAGAAATTTAAAAAAAAAATTGTTTTTGAAGAGAAAAACGTTTTAAAATTTCGTATAAAAATAATTTAAAATTTAACAATCTCGTATATAATTCATTTAATAACTTAGTTATAATGGGGCTAATTTTAAATAATTTTAGTACCGTTCGATGAGGATGCAACTTGATCCGCAAATTTCATTTGATGATTCCGATAATGTTTTCGATGATTCACCAGAACGTCACGAACATTTGCGAATTTCCTATTATGCGGAGATTATACAATAATCGCTATGATGACAAATAAATAATTTATGTACAAAGCCAGCGAAGCTTTTTGTCAAATGGGTGTGAGGGGATCGAGGGCAGTGTCGAGTGTGTTTGTTTGATTGCTGGCTCTCCGCTTCGCGTTGAGTCACGTCTTAAATGAAAGAGAAGATAGATCTCGATGATCTATCGCGTTATCTTATAACTGTTATCATGATATCTTATAAAAAGTGAGTGGGTTAAGAGGAACTGAAAAGAACTTATTCTATGAAATTACGTTTTATATGATCTTTGAAATTAATTCAATTTAAAAAAATCCTTGTTTTCTCCATTTCCAACGTAATAGTATTGTCTTGTACTTCTTTAAATATTTAAAAAAATAATCTTTTAATTTTTTCAATTTTTTGAAATTTACTCCCTCTATTTCCAAGATTAAGAATTTATTGTTTTACAGAATAAATTCTTTTTTTAATTCTTATAATTCACCTACTCTCTCTTTATAGGATGCAGTAAACGGCTACATTATCCTAGGCGAGCTTGTTGCCAATCAAAATGGAAATTATAGAGGTGTCAGCTCGACTGGTGGTTGGCCCATCTTCGTTCGCAAAGTTGCGACATTATCCTCTATCTGGACTAGTAATTTGTATTTCTGCAAGAAAAATTAAATGATAAATCTATTTTATAATGATTTCCTTTCTTTAATATATTGTATGCGTGTCTATGTGCGTGTGTGTGCGCGCGCGCACGTTTTTATTATCTTCTTATTATTGTATCATTGTATTTAACGTCTTATTAATATTATTTTTTATTGACTTACTGTTCTATTATCGCCTGGGGTAGTCATCCACGCATAAACCATGTATCCGGGTATACAAAGCATAGAGGATAACGCTGTAAGCCAACCTAATACATGCGACCACCAAGGATATTCATAGTCTAGATATTTTATAGGTGTCCACTGAATTAGATTGAAGACGAACACACCCTAATTAAGGAAAATATATTAGATATTTGTATAAATTAATTTTAAACAGTTACAAATTAATATTTTATTCAAAGTAAAATTCACTTAGCATTTAACGAAAAGTAAAATTTGGTAAAGTATCTGCAAAATACACGCATGCACGAAAAGATCTCTCTAAATCACATATATAATCCAAAAATTCTTGCTATTACGAAAAGAATTTATTTCAAGTTTCAACTGAAAGAATTTGAATAGATGAAAAAATAGAGAGAACATCTCATATAATCTTTCTTTTAATATTGTGTTAGCAATTATTTTATTTAGGAAAAAGAAATTAGCAAAAATAATTAATAATTAAAATTAAATTGAAGTAAGAAAAGCATAACAAAATAATAATAAACCTTATATACTTACAACGCAAATCAACGGCGTAGTTATTGTCCAGCAAAATTTCCACCACATGAGAGGATAATATCCAATCATATCACGCAGGCCATCATAGAATCGATTTACTCCAAATGCCCAGCTGATTGATATACATTCGAAGAAGATAAGGAAGAGCAGGCAGAAACCAGAGACAGCGTACGAATCGAGGATTTGGAAAACATACATGCCACCTTGAGAGATACACGTCAACCCGGTGAGATAGGACAAAGCGCACACGAGGGCAATAAAAAGCTCCTTACGACGACGCAACAGCAAAGGCCACTCGTCCACCTAAAAGATAAATTGATTGACTAATTGAAATAATATTTTTTTGTAGTAGAAAAAAAGAATTTTCGTTGAAATAATAATTGAATTAAATGTCAAACAAATTAAAATTGAACCATTTAAACAATTGAAACCAATTAAACATTGAAACATTGAAACCAATTTAAACAATGAAACATTGAAACCAATTTAAACAATTGAATTAAAATTCAAACATTAATCAAACAGGCAGGATAGAAGGTTATTGACAGTTCAAAAATAAAAGCTTTTTTCAAACTTTTGAAAAAAAGTTACACTAGAACTGTAAAAATAAACAAGGACATTAAAATAGTGGAATTGCCACGCTCTTTAAAACGGTACCATAGCTGTGACGAAGCCTTCCATTGTGCAAAATTGGGAATCAAGTCCGATAAGCAGCAACATGAAGAAGAACAGGCACGACCAAAGTGGCGCGCCTGGTAGTTGGAGAACCGCCGATGGATAAGCGAGGAAAGCTAGGCCCGGTCCGGAAGCGGCTACTTCGGCGACCGGTTTCTGTTGTTCATGCGCCATAAAGCCTACCACCGAGAATATCACGAAGCCAGCAAACATGCTAGTGGATGAGTTGACCGAACAGACGATCAATGCGTCCTTGTAGACATTGTTAGTAAATTTATTATAACTGCCGAGGGCTACCAGAGTGCCGAGTCCAAGACCATACGAGAAAAAGATCTGCGTCACTGCGTCGATCCATACCTGCGAATTAACAATTATACTATTAATTATATTATTAAAATTATTAGAATTAACAATTATACTTTATTTATGGGATTATGTCAAAGTCAATCGGTTTAAAAAGTTAATAAATGAAAAAGAAATTTACCTCAGATTCTCGAAGCTTAGACAAGTTTGGACTGATATAAAATCGAATGCCTTCCATGGCGCCGGGTAGTGTAATGCCACGAATTAGAAGGACAGTAAGCAACACATATGGGAAGAGAGAAGTGAAATAGACGACTTTGCCAGTCCACTTAACGCCCTTCCAGATGCAAAAGTAGCAGATTACCCATACTACCAATAATGTACCCGCCAATTCCCATCGAATATTGCCCATATATTCGATACCCTCGCTGATTTGCAACGCTCGACGTCTAAAAGGTAGAAATAATATTTAATATAAGCCCGGCGATAGAAAAGCGCAAATTACGCGCATCACGTACTCAGGAGAAAATGAAAAATTGTATTTATACTGACTCCCAGAATTCCTTTACAGGATCCGTAAGCTCCGTCATCGTCACATTTATGTGATTGACCGTGCACATTTTGACAATGCTACCGTTCCTGGCTGAGGAGCTTTCGGACCAGCAAAACAGCGAGCTTCTATCGTAAGGATTCACGCAATTCTTGGTGTTCCAGTAGTTATTGCAACTGCCCCAAGGTAACTCTAAAATTGTGTAACGTTCAATAAAATCCTTTATTCCCGTTCTTCGTCATCGTTATTAAATGAAGGAATTTTTATTTAAAATATATTTTAAAAAATTGTTTTTGATCGTGAAAAATTAAAGTGTAGATAAACTTGTTAGTGTACTCACCACTGCGCATCGACATGAAGAAGTAGAAAATGGCCCAAGCTAGGATAACAATGTAATAAACATTCATCCAGCAGGACATAACGGCGGCTGCATAACCGATACCTTTGAAGAGCGGTGCTATTTTGAAAACCCCGAGGCCGCCTATCGTGAGCATCTGTCCAAGAGCTAACTCCATGAAGAACATAGGTATACCGGCGAGGAACAGTGTCAAGAAGTAAGGGATTAGAAAAGCACCGCCGCCATTTTTATAGCAGAGATACGGAAATCGCCATACATTGCCAAGACCGATTGCCAGACCGACCTTGAAGAAATGACAAACGTCAAAACACAAGCAAGTATAAGCTAAATCACGTTTACATTTAATCAATGATTAATATTAATGGTAAAGAAATAATTTAAAATCTCTATAAGAATATAAATTTTTTTTAATTATCTTTTTTAAATGTTTTATTTAGAATACGTCACTTTGTCGATGATGTTTAATATAATGTATTTAATTTATAATATATTGTAATATATTATATTATAATATATTATAATATATTTAATTTGTAATATAATTAATTTGTAATAGTATATTTAACAATATAATAAAATGCATTACCACACTAAGAATAAAATCCAGCTTGGTGCTCCATGTTCCACGATCAGGAAGAGGCTTGCTTTTGCTGGTCGTTGAACATGTCAGATTTAATGCTGTCCTACCGTTGTCGGGATTTTCTGAATCAGTTACTTCAGGATCACGCGATGCCTCTGTCATGTTTGTAAAGACCAATGATAATCTCAGTGTTCTCTGTTCGTGCACTCACTCCAGCTGATTGTCGACCAATGTCGTCTCAAATGCGAAAATGATAGTGAGACATAACACAGGACCTGTAACAAAACGATTGTACAGTTTACTCAATTCCAATATAGCTTGAAGCGAATTTTGAATGCTTAGAAAACTGCAAAAAACAAATGTTGCAATAAAAAATGTGAAAAATTTATCCGCGAATATAAATAAGACTAGAAAAAATTTTTGTTTTATTTTAAATTTATAAAATAAAAGTTTTTAGAAGTGATATCAAGTTAGAACTAGAACATGCTAAATATAGCTATAATATTATATTTTATATCAGTTTCCAAATTACACAATATCAAAATTCTCTCATATTCTCTATTTTAAACGTTTCAATCGAGTTCTCGTTCTTTGCGAGCTATGGAAGTTCCTCTGGTTTTTATCGTCTGGAAAATCTGCGGAAAACAATTAGATATTTGGGTCGAAGATAAATGCTCCTGAGTATCGCAAGAAGTGAAAAGTCGACTGATCATTCTGAGCATTAAAGCAGACTACCGAGAGAACGACCAGCTAAGAATATGCGTTCTTCTATTGGATAATTAGGCTATATCCGTGTCTCAATAGTCGTCGGATGTTAAAGAGTTCCGTCTGATAGGTCAAGATGCTGAAATCAAATTTGTGATTGCGCAAAAATCACGTCAGTTAATAGTTAGAGTCAAATATACAGATTATGTTCAATTATAATACATATGTAAATCGATATTTACAGTAAAGTTCTATATCAATAAAAAATAAATAAAGCTATAACAGTATAACAGTAATAAAATGAATAAATAATTATACTTAACATTTAGCAAATTTAATTATTTTGGCAAATATAATATAAATAAAATGTATACGTTTTGACAAATTTAATTTTTTGCAGAAATAAATTAAAATCACATGATAAATTCATAAAGAAAGTTTCTCAAAAGGTTCTCTTTCTCTTTCCTATCTGTTTACATGATAAATTTATATTTTTGAAATTTCTTTTTAAAATTATTTATAAAATCTTTGTATGTGAAATTATTCTATAATAAAAACTCAGGAGACAATAATATTACAATTATTATTATCAATTCTCAATTAGAACTCAGTTGTAAAAAATTAAGGAAATTATTATACACTAATTTTATACGTTTATATAAAAATGTATTTGATTTCACATTTTAAGTTATTAATTAGATATTGATTTTTTATCAATGTGTAAAATGAAGAGTATTTTTAAAATTATTTTTAACAATCTAGTTCAAACGCTTTCCACGAAACGACAGCAAGTCGCTTAATTAATATTTGATTTTAAACTTGCATTTACGGGAGCATCAACGATCGAACTTGCATTTAAGTGAGGATATTGCGAGATCAACTTGCGGGAGACTTGCGGGGGAGATCCTGCAAGAAGAGCAGCAAGGTATTCTCCGAGGTACATAGAAGAAGAAGGGTGAGTAGTGGCCATTGGTGCGGCCCGTTAAATACGAATGTCCGGTAGGGGTCCCGTATAATAAATATCGCGATGGTGCGTGTTTCCTTGCTCCTCCCTTCCCACCACCGCCACCCATCACGGCTCCCTCTTCCTCTTCCACGCTCATAAAAAACAGCTATATTCTAATTAGCCGAGGATGTGTCGTTCCGCGTATCGTTGCGATCGACGTACTGAAATTTTCATGCTGTCGTTCCGCGAAAATCCTACCTTGGCGAAAAACCAAGATATTATTTTTAAAATGTTCCAATCTCCCCCGACATTATATACTTCCGTATTATAATTATTTACTTCCGTCAATCATTGCGAAGATTTTTCCAGAAGATAAAATGAGAAGATAAATTGAGCATGGATTGGTAAGTCAATCACGAGCACGTGGCATCAGAATGTTGGACTTGACAGTTTGAAGTATATTGGAGCACGTGCTCTTCTCTGTCTCTTATATTCGACAAATTGCATAAGCCACGTGATATCAGAATGTCAAATTTAATATCATAATTTAAAATTTAATATCATAATTTAAAAATAATGATTTTTAAGTAGCACGTAAGCTTAAAGAGTATTATATGCATAAATTAATATATAAGTAATTTATCTAAATGTTCGAAGCATTAATTAAAATAAATTATTCGTTATATTATGAAATAATTGATTGTTATATTATTCTTTGTTAAATTTAAAGGCTACTTGAGGAATTTCGCTAAAATTTAACATATTGCAAAGAAATAATTGTCATTAATTGTTTATTTATTATATGCGACAAATTTACCGCCATTCTTCAAGCTCGACTAAAATCTTTCTTCATTGTGCTAATTTTCAAAAAAAGTCTACGAACCTTATTAAATCCGACGATGGAATCTCATGTGGAAGTCATCGGCTCTTTCGAGATAATCATGAGCAAACCGATGCAAGACAGTTTGGCGTCACTTTGTCGCCGATGAGCGGAATGAGTTTGATTCGTTTTTACACACTGCACTTCTCCTGAGCACTCTTGATGAGCGCGCGGGATGTAGTTTCGCGCTCGCCACCGGAGTAGCTGTATCGTATCGTTCCCGATGTCGATGATCCACTGACAGAGATCCTCAACGATCGATGGATCCTCAGCTGATCAACGTTTCCCGCGGTGAGCGCTCCGATTTTCGAAGTCGAGCTCTGCAAAGTCTCCAGCAAACTATCCAGCAGGATCACCAGATCTCGAGAGGATGACCCGCGGATGAGGTCGCGATCACTCGTGATCGTCTACCGCGGATATACTGTGACTGAAGAAGCACAACGCGTGTACCAGGGGGCAGAGAAAGAGAGAGAAAGAGAGGAGAAGAGAAGGAGATGAGCGACTCCCTGCGTTGCGTGCGCGAGTGTTGTCCGCGGGATACTGTGCGTAATCGGTCTGCGATCGGTCCAGTCTTCCGTGCGCGTCGCGTCAACCGGCAGTGACTGAAATCGTCGTGCAGGAAGAAAATCCAGGAGGGGGGTTCCCTCTTTTTTCTTTTCCATCGCCGGTGATCTGCGCCACCCGCACCGCCCTTACACCCTCCGTCACCCCCGTCGCGTCGCGACGGAACGTTATCTGGTGGTTATAGGTGAGATCGAATGAGAGCGAGTAGGAGAAAGAGCGCTGGTGGCGAAAGAGAGGCAGAAGATGACGGTGGAGAAGAAAGGGGGTCATATACCAAGATCGCAACAGTATATCATCATCAAGTTGACATCTATGCCCTCCCTCTATCTCTCCAACCCTCTCTCTTTCTCTCTCTCTTCTTTCTACGTTGCATTTTTTCTCCTTCCTTCCTAGTTTCGTCTTTCTGCTCCTGTAAGACCTTATATCTCAATTTCTTCGTAGATAGCAATTTACCTCATATAAATTTCCCTGCGTACCTTCTTCTTCATGGGCTTTAACCCGAAAGGATGCATGCTTTTGGGATTTAGGATTGATCCATGTATTCAAAGTGGTCATGTCATAACAATCCAGAGGTAAGACATTCTTTCTAGATTGAACCATGTACATCTTTTCAATATTCCACAAAAATCTAAAACAATAATGATTATATACTTTTCTTCAAAAAGTAAATTTGTTATCATCTTGAATAAAAATAAAATGGTATTAACTAACAATAATTTTTTTAATTTTCTCAATCGTAATATAATACATGATGATAATTAATTTCATAATGGCAGTAATCAGACATAATTGCTGAGATTCAGATTAGAATTGATTATGTTTTTGACACGAAAATGGAAAAAATTCAAAAGATACGTTTAAGTTTATTTTTCGTTCACTGCATTTATTATAATAGACCAGAATATTTAAGGATATATCATGTAATTAATGAAAGGAATACCGAAATGCATCTCGACCATTAACTTCAATAAGTTCCATCAACGTGAAAACAAAATGCCGCGCATTTATTATGCAATTACGGCGGAAATTTTTTCCATTAACGTCGCATTATTAATCTCTTGACTCATCTCTTGAACAGACTGATATACTATATATGAGTTATCGCGTATAATAATTAAAGATCAAAAATCTTGGAATTATTTCATTATATCATTATATCATTCTGTCGTTATCTGATTTCTGTCATTAACTTTATCCTGGATCTGTTTGGATTTTTGTTGATAAAGTTCGTTTTTTTTTTTAAAGGATTCAAGGAAGCAAGTACAAAAATCGATCAAGATGACAATCAGTGCAATTAAGTTTTGGATAATGAAAAAGGAAACGACGGATGTGCATTTCGGCAAGGAATTGCCGCACGTTTTTCCGGCCATGGGCGATTTCCGAACGTTTCCGATGAAACGAAATGGCGATAAAGTAGGTGAGCAAGACTAGGAAGCTGGTATATCCGGAGGGTTCACGTGACACCGATCCGTCCCCGCATCCGTTCGAGGTACAGTCCGTTGTATAGGTCATGAGGAGAAGCCCGGATTGATAACGCAAAACCGTAAAACGCTTTGCGCTGCGAGCCAACTTTTTTCGGCCCGCGATGACGAATCGGTATCAAGGAAGCAGCAGTAATCAGTCCTATTCAATCCATTCGATTGATTCTGCCTGCAAAATTACTCAATTTTTCCGAATTATCCGCTAACGCTCGTCCAAAGTTTCACGATGAGAATAATTAAATAAATGTTGTTTGCGTTGCTTCCGGTTCGGATTTTTGCCGCCGGATTTTTCGGATGCTTCGAATCTTGCGATATCTCGCGAATAACAATATGTTTTGTGTGTCGTGCGACATGATTGCTTGATGACATTAGGCGCCCGAAGAGGGGAGCATCCCAAATGACAAGAGGATGTGCGGAAAGTGGCGCGGGAACCACGCCGCTTACCATCTTGCTGCTTAGAATTTTCACGGGGATGGACGCGATTTTCGAAATATCCGTAACAATTTCGAAAAATTATGTTATATATGGAAAAAGAAATTCACGCAAATCAAAGCAATTTTGCGTAAATTTATTTTAAAAATTTGGCTTTCCCTAATTTTGACGCTATACGATTCAACTTTTACAACGTGTTTAACATTTTTACGCTGTAATGTTTTTTAAAATTGCATTTGGTAACGATAATGATATTTAAAGAGACTTGAGAAGAAGGCGAGTGAAAATTTCAATTATTTGATACCAAAGTATTGAGCTTTGACAGCACTCGGATACAATATTATATTGACACATCGCATCGAATCGTTTTGTAATTGATCATCAATAAGCAATTTATTGATGACGTTGCATGCGACAATAAGTTATAATAAATGACAAGTCTCAATTTTATTGACAATTTTATTCAGTGTGACAAAGAATTTGTCACAGTGAATAAAATTGTTTGTGTTTGCAATTATTAATTGAAGTTTGATCTATATGTTTTTGCCATGCAAATGAAAATTTTAATTGATTTTTACTAGATGTTTTTTTTATTAACAGAGAATAGCATGTGTATTGTCACTTTTTTTCGTAAACATTTTTGTAAATATTATGTCCATCTAAAAAGTACATTTAATTTATAGAATTATATATTATTTATATATTATTTACTTGCAATTAAACATAACATAATGCGTCTTCTGATAATAAAATACTAAAAAATGATAGACGATCCATTAAAAACCGATTTATTTTTTAGTAACTTTTCTTTCGTAATTAATATATGAATACATTATTCTCTTATTTCGTGAATACCTACAATTACATGTATTAAATATTTCAATAATAAATAAAATGCAATTCGACGACATGCAACAGATGGAACATTTACTCAAGATGGCGGTTAGTGCGGTAAACAAAAATAAATACTCCGCTTATAATGAATTTTATTTTATTTTATTTTATTTTATTTCATCTTAGACTCTTGTTACAAGTATTGTAATTTCGTGTAATTTCGTGTAAAATGAAGTATAAAAATAACTCGTTAACAAATGTATAATAGCTGGATGGATAACCCTCAGGCTTTCTTTTATACTCTAAATAAAAAAAATAAAATATAAATAATAAATAAATAAATAAATAAATAAATAATAAATAAATAAATAAATATTCCGCAGATAAGAGTAAGTGATCTTTAAATGTCACAAGCTTCGCGCGAAAACTACAGATGGCGCCAGATGCGAGATACAGTTCCGCTCAAAGATGGCGCTCGCCGAAACTACGGTGCTCGATGCTTCGCAGTCCCGCTAACGTGCAAAAATTGAACGAATCTTGGCGTCCCCGAGCACGTTCTTCTCGTAAAGTTCGTAAACAAACTTCGCGGATCTCGAAGTAAACACAGTTACATGACGCTTGAAATGCTCGTCGATACGGATATAAATTATTATCGACGCGCGACAAATCCGTGAGGTTATGAAATTACACGCTTCGCCGAAATAGCCGCAATTTTACAGTCAGGATGGCTGTAAACAAGATTTTGTACTTGCTCCTGCCGATAATACTGACAAATATTTATGCAGTCGCTAACGACGACGAGGTCACTAACGTCACTGTCAAGTGTCAAACTGGCAAGTCGCTGCGCAAACAGGTGTCAGCGGAACCCTTGAACGGTATGTGCCTCCGAGATGTCGTGGGGTATCTGTCAAAGAGGCTGCGATCCATCGTCGACGAGGAACTCGGCGCGTCCTCGTTCCAGGATACGATCAACAGGATGGAATTCGCAAACATCTCCAGCAACCTGGACGCGAGACTGAATGCGTTAGTTGATAAGTTCAACAATAAATTAAGAACGCACATTGATGTCCTCAAACAGGGCTACAACGCCATATACTCCATCCTGTCGAAGGAGGTCCGCGCAGTTTATTCTAGTCAAACGGTTGATTTAGACGTAATGCAAATGAACAGAGTTTCGGATATATGTACTCAAATTATAACAGGTATTATTATTTATATTTATTTATATATATTTATATTTATATTATTATTTATATTATTTTATATTGAATAACATAATTGTCATTTCTTTCATTTAGATTCATTAAGTTGATGATATATTAATTTTGATTATAGAATTGGCAACAAAGTTAAGAAGTCAAGAATGGAAAAATTTACATGTATTACCAATAAGCCAACCAAGTACGATATGTGGACCATCTACAATGGATCATATTATTGGATCACTTTTATTATCTCAATACTGTCCCAAGAAGAATGTCATTCTGCTTTTGGAACATAACATGTTTATGTCAGAATCCGATCTAGCTTTGATTCAAAAAGCAGCTAGAACTATTATAGATATGCTTTCTGAAACAGATAATGTTACTGTTGTTGGTCTTGCTAATGCTGCATCTCTGTTTTGCAAGGATGGCTTGTTGAAAGCAACAGATATCAATAAATTTCAATTAATCCGTTATATCGACAGTTTAATTAGAACAGGTAATTAAAAGCGAGTCTATTTAAATATATATTGTATATATGTATTGATTTAATGCCTTTAATTTTTTTTTAGATTCAAATCAGACAACAAAGGTTGATTTTAAGAAATTAACACAGAATTTAAGACATGAAGTGATTATTATACATTTAACTAATAAAGTAAAAGATATATCACATGTGGAAAGAGTGTTTGAAACAATTTCAGAAAGACTTACGATTCATTTGAAAACTATACTTATTCTTCCAAGTAAGTTCTTTTTTATACTTTACTTTTTGTACGAAAAATTGTTCTACATTACAGTTTATTTTCAGACCAACACCCATACATCAGTGATACACAGTTTTTAGAAAATGATCATATTATTGTCCTTCCAACACAAAATGTTCTTGGATATAAAATAGGAAAACTATTTTCTTGTTTGCAATGTCCTGATTATCATAAGAAAGATGTTTATATATTAGATCCATATTTTGATCTATATAGCAAGACAATGACATTATCTATTGGACAAATTACAAGTGTTGCGCTACTATCTTTAGATATAAAATTAAATGATTTTCTTGATGATGTGACATATTTTAACACTGGTCCAAACATATATGTTATATTCTTCGACAATAAAGGTGTGGTTTGGATGCATAAAAATTTTCCCAGGATTGAGACAATAATTGAACAACCGCTTAAAGTACATTTGCAAGATATTGAAAATATAGATAATTGGACAGTAATGAAAATGATAAATGAAATTGAAGGAGTCATAGATGTGAAAACAAAATTGGGCGAGCAGGTAAGGAGAAGCATTTATATACAAATTTTAAAACGGGAGTAAGAGATAGAAAATTATTCTTTGATTCATGATGCAGAAGCGATACCGATGGAAACATTTACATTATGATGCCTTGATAATATGTCTTGTATCTATTACTGAAGAAGGAATATTGCCTGTTGCGAGAACTGTGTCCTCACTGCCTACAAACATATTACATCATCGCCTCGATCTTATGCTTCAAACTGTCATTAATAAAGATACACTCTGCATTTATAGAAACAGGATTGCAACTTTATGTAAGAAGATAAACTCTTTCATTCTAATTGTCAATTATTTACAACACATTAGATATTTAAAATCTTATATATTTTATTTTATTTTTAGCAACTGGTGTAGTTTATTTATCTCCATGGTGTTTTCAATCCCCAATGGAGCAACTGGAACTATTAGAAACTGGTTCAGCTATGACTGTACAAAGCTATATGGCATACATCAAAGATTTAACGGGTCTTTTAGCTAATCCTGGTTTACATCCATCTGTAAAACCGGATGTAGCAATCTTAGCGCAAGTCTTGGAGCATTTTAAAAAGCAACATATTGAAAGTCCATTAAATAAATTTATAATAAGAAGGTAATTACACAAATAATTAAAATTTTATTAGATTATTATTAGTATAATAATAACTTGTTTATTTTGTCATTTTAGATATGTTGTGAGTACAGTTAGTGGTGTGTTGGAGATTTTCCCAGGAATGGTATTGGATTCTGGTTTTGATCCCAAAAGGCGAATGTGGTATGGAAAAGCACTAGAGCATCCTGATAAGATAATTTTGACTCCACCTTACTTAGATGCAGGTGGATCAGGCTATGTAGTAACTCTAAGTCAAGTTATTGAATATCCTATGGGCAATAACAGTACAGATTATGTTATTGCTGTCTTATCTATGGATGTTACAATGGGTTACATCATGAGATTACTACAGGAGATGTTTCCATTCTGTTATGATGCGACTGTCAAATGTTTCTTGATGGATGACAAAGGCTACTTGGTGTCACATCCGACATTGTTGGAAGCAACAGGCAAGATTGAACAGCAGCATTTAACGCATAAGGAACTTTTAGTAGCTAATGACATATTAAATCATGGACTGTTTGTGAAAAAAAAATCTTGTGCCAATCACTTGGAGGGCGTTGTCCAAAGATATTATCAATTTAATATGTCACTTGACGACGTACTTACTAATATAGCACACGGCGAGCACTGTGTTAGATATCAGGTAGCTGCTGTACCAGATACTAATGTATTCCTTGGTGTCGTTAATGTGACGACTCAGTGCAATTTGCTTAGAGCTTTTTGTCCATGCAGTACGGTAAGTTCACATTAGTTATTGCGCATTTTATTTCTGATTTTAATATATTTTTGTTTTTACTTTTTTTATTAAATATTACAGATGGATCATTCATGCCTAAACTGCAAAAGTATGGAACAAACTGGTTGTGAATGTCCTTGCGAATGCTCCTTATATTCTTCTAGTTGCTCACAACAAAGTATCAACAATTTAAATTCTTGTCCGCCTCTATATGAGCAAGGCTCAAGTTTACAGACTCCATGGATACAGCCGACAAATTTGAAATCGTGTCCGTCTATCGATTGCAAATCATACGCGACGGAGAAAGATTGCTTGGGTATCGCTGATTGTCAATGGTGTCACATCGATGCCGATGGAGAAACACCTTTGCAACAACCATTTTGTTCTGACATGTCAGTTTGTTTCAAGGGAATCTTCGGATCTCTGATACCTTACAGCGACGGCACTTACAGTAAATTCATTCTTTTTTCTCTTTTGTCACATTTATTATGATTTCCATTATGTAATAAAGTTATGCTTTTTTCAGATTCACAATCAACAGATGAAGTCGTGATAGGAGAGTGGCCATCGGTCGGTCTGGTAGCCGGTGGAATTCTTGCATTGGTCTTGATTCTAGGCGTTATTCTGTTTTGCTATAGACTTCGATCGGTAAACTCAGGTGTGGAGCATCAATGTTTACATCTCCATACTTCGCCTGACACGTTGCGCATGACGCATCTCGAGGGCGATTTGGAGCCCGCGGAATTGGATCAAACCAAAAGCAATTTGGATTGCCTTATGAGAGATGGTACCGCGCCTATATCACCATATAGAGTTTCTACCAATTACAGAAGACCACCTGGTGGGGATAGCGATCATGGGTATAGCACAATGACGCCACATGATGATTCCGAGCAACAAACATTTGCCTCCGAACCTTTGCTAATTGTCGACAATAACATAGAGCCAGATTTAACGAGGCAGTCCGGCAGTTTCAGAATGCCTTCTCCTACAACGTACTTGGGATCACCGCATCACGTTTTAGCGCCTGTGACTGTCCATCGCGATATGGAAACAAATTATTGTTAGTAAAACTGAATTTACATTGCCATTTATCTGAAAAAGTAAGTTACAAAGCGTCCTCAAAATTTCGTAAAAAGCTATATCACTTTTTTGCAAATATGGTCCTGATAATGTATAGCCATTCATTTTATTTGCAATTATTGATATGGTAGATATAATACTGTTTTATTGTAGTTGCAATAGAACAATATTTATCATTAGTTATTTATCAGTATTTATCAAAGTAGTAGTAGAGTATAGTCTTTATTATTATCAAAGGCAGCACAGTTTATTATCAAAATGACAATAAGTACGAATTTTTGAATGACTAATGAGCTTAAAGATATATAGTTTTTATGAACTATCTGAATTGATACTAAAGCCTTTTATACAAGTACTAACAATAATTGATAAGTTGTCCGAGTTTTATATATACATATATATATATATATATATATATATATATATATATATATATAAAACTTGGACAACCTGTAACTCATATATATATGTATATATATGTATATATATGTATATATATATGAGTTTTATATATAGGAAAACTTTAAATGGCTGGTACATTGTCTAAGAGACTTAAGGCTTAAGGTATAAATTTATAAGTATATACATAAAGTAATAACGAATTATTTATGTATAATTCTGATTATAAGCAATTTAGAATTGTATAAAAGAGAGTATACTTTTATACATGTAAGTAATTTTACAATTATTATACAGGAATATTAGTTTCCCAAATAGAATATTTTTATATGACAAAGTTAAGATATTTTAATAGTATATTCAGATAGAGGTGCTACATTCGTAATTATATGCGAGTTAAGAAATTAAAATCTTACAGAGTTGTTATTGTTGATAAATAACTGATACTAATATAAAGTAATTTAATAACAAATTACAATTTAGACAAACAATTACAATTTGAACAAAATTGTAAATTTTAGCACACTGCCTAAAGTACTGCCATCATGCCGCGATTGAATTACAAAACAATTAATTTTAAAGATATACTAAAACTAAAAATTTATTTCTTGAATTTTTTTTATATGATATATTATAAAACTGATGAGGCAATTTGTATTTACAGTTTATTTTGTAATCCTCTTATTTTTAGAATCAATTTCTTTTTATTTTAATTGAAATAGCGTATTTATCATGGTTTAAATAAATAACAGTGCCAAAATGTGACTTTATATACTGTGCAAACTAATTTTAGAAAGCTATAATGAAATCTACAATATCATTTCTATTATTATTCTATTTCTATTCTATTATATTCTGTATGGATTATTGGAACATATTTCTCATGAAATGAAATCATAATTTTATCATTGCACAAATCATAGCATTAAAAAGAAAAGGACACAAGAGAATTAAATTTTAGAAACAGTAGGAGTTTATAATCATTAAACCTTTTTTAACGTATTTATTTTTCTTTTGCATAGAAATATTAAAACTAAATTATGCAGTCACGATCAAAAGAAAAGTTACGTTATATTATAGTAACTATAGTACAAGCTTTTATACGAGTATTATTTGAAGTTTTACAATTAATGTACTTTATTGACATAATACGATACACATTGTCGTTCATATGTGCGATAATATATCCACATTTTAATAGACTAACATGATTGTAATACAGACTTTTCATTTTTATGGTTTTTAGTTAAAAAGATAGAGCAGTAAAATATAGAAAACATTTAAGTATAATGTATTTATATGACAATTGCACAAGTATAAATATATATATATATAATATTTATATATATATATATATATATATATATATATATATAAAATTACATAATATATATTTCATATGTCTATGCAATTGTTATATACATGTGTGTATATATGCTATTCTGAATGGTACTTACTTTAGGAAAGACTTACGTCTGTTGATGTATTATTATCGTTAAGAATATAATGTAAAATACCGTTTCATATTGATCTTTTTTATAATTATGATGTATACTTTGCATACAAAATTCATGTCGAGCGAGATTTTATACATTATATATATATATATATCAGTACTTTTATTATTAAAAAACAATATTTTATTAAATAAGGAATATTTGTATTTTTCCCTTTCTATGAAACATAAGAAAAAAAATATGATCTTTCTACAGAAAGAGAATAATCTATACCTAGAGATGTTGCAATCTCTTTCACATATGCAAGGTGAATAAACACACTTTTATTATACTCTGTCTTATAAGTGAAGTTTAATATGAAGCGTATTGACCATTGAAAACAAAATATTACGATGATTAAGGTATAAAATCCGGATTTTTTCTTAAAATTACAAAACCCTCCATGATTGGCGTCAATGGTATGTATTCCTCGGTGGCAAGTTCTGCTCTCTCACCATATGCCAGTAATACTGGAGTGGTGTGTGTCTGGAAGCCTGTGATAGTTTTCGGTTTGCCCGCTTGGCCGACAACATCGACAGCGAGACCGACTCTCACTGGTACGGCCAGCGGATTCAGGTCTTCATCGAAAGTCACCAACATTCTAGGCTGCATCGCAGCAGCTAGCGTATACAGCAAGTAGTGTGAGCGTCCAAGGATAACTGAAAAAATATTCATGACATTAATTAAAAAAGTCATATTATAATGAGGATAATTTAAAAGGATTGCTCAAAAATGAATTGATATTAATTAACAAAAATGAATTGGCATTAATTAACAAAAAGTCACATTACAATAAAGAAGCTTTATTTTTTTATAATAAAAAGAATTGAGGAAAGAATATTAAAGAATATTTAAGAATATTTAAGAATATTTAAGAATATTAAAGAATATTTAAGAATATTAAAGTTTTTAAAAACTTTTTTTTCTGATTAACTAATTGTGTAAATATATAAAAAAAAAGATCAAAATTTATTGTAAATTTCTGTATCTTAAGAATTAATCATAAGAATTTCTCATAGTCAACTTAGAAAATTTAGAATAAGAATCTTCATAATGAGGATAATTTAAAAGGATTGCTCAAAAAGAATTGAAATGCAAACAATATTTCTATATCCATTGTATCAAGAATATATACTCACTGTTTTTCACATCCAAAAAACCAATCAATGTCGATAGAAGACCGGCGAGAGCAACAGGACTGAGCAGCTGCCTATCGCTGTGATAAGGCGATAGAGTAAGCGTACCTTTACCTAGATGCGTCAAACCTTGTGCGATGCGCACCATGAAGAGATTGTTGGGGTCTTTTGCGTGAAACTGAGCCAATTGCCTCAACATAGCAGCCAATCGTGCGTTATTTGTACCAGCACCGACCAGGCCCATGGCGAATATCGCATTATGTGCCACTTCAGAGTCGCTGTCGTGTGAGAACTTGGACAATGTGTCTAGAATATTTAATTTCGGATTCGACACCGAGATGAGACCTAGAGCGAGAGGTACTGAACGACGAATCACGGGCTCGCAGTAACGCAATAGATGACCGAAGGTCCTGTATGCCATCTCGGCGCCGATCTCCTCTCCCATAGCGATCAAAGCGATGCCGAGGACAGCAATAGCCTGTCTAGAACTGAGATCCTTCTCCTTATCTTCTTTCTTCTCCTCCTTCTTTTCCTTGTCCTTGCGATCACTCTTTTCCTCCTTCTCGTTGCTCGGCTCATAGTGCTCTGAACAGATGTGCAACAGGTGTTGAATCTTGAGGACGTTCCCTGTGCCAGCGTAGGCGCACACTTCCACCAACGTCGTCGACATCGATCTAAATGGCTCGTGAACGATTTCCAGAGCTGCTATGATCGCTTCTGCAGCCTCCTGCTTTCCCAGGAAACATAATCCTAGACCGAGTGCCAGAAATCGCGCATATGTATCTTTGAGATCGGATTCCGACTTGTCCATCAATGTATGCATGATCGCTGTAGTGACATAAGCGTTACAAGAGCCGGCAGCGACCATTCCTAATGCCAGACCAGTCATACCAAGCACTTCCCAACTCGATTTGGTGTCACTGAGGACTGGCGTCAGCAGACCCAGTACAGCTTCCCGGTTAGAACCGGCGTACGCGATACCGAGGCCGACGATGGCGCCGATACGCATGGTATTGCTGCTGTGCAACACGTAATCGGACAGCAGAGCCAAGGCGGGATCACACTCGTTTCTCACGCCGCAATTGACAATGCCACAAGCTAGCAGAGCACCGGATTTGATGTAGTCTTCCGATGAGTACAGGTACTTGTCAATTGGAGTAAGACCGCCGTCCACATCCCATAGCAGGATTAGACCTAGAGATGCAGTCGCACTTAACATACCATGCTCTTTATTCTTGTACAGCCACTTGTTACCATCCTCGATCAATAGTTTGTCGTGACCAAATGCAGCATTTACGAAACCGTTGACAAAACTCGCCGCAAGATTCTGACGCGCTGAGTCGACCTGACCACCGCCAAACGGCGGTCGTGAATTTTCTAAGTGGGATTTATAGACATCCTCTGGTGTCTTGGGTTCCATTATATCTAACTCTCGTGCTAAGTTCAGAAAGTGATTGTTTAAGTGGGAATTGGACATTATTTCGAATAGATCGTCGTCTTCTACTGTAGCCTCATGTAACTCCAGAAAGATCTGCTGGCGACCAAGCATAAAAGCCAATTGCTTTTGCACAGAACTGAAAAGTATAATAGACTTCTTATAATTCTCTTCAGGAAATCGATTATATTAATTAATAAGGTTTTTCAAATAAAAACCTGCTTATAAAGATTCTAAATAAACCATTCTTTAAAAGATTATAATATATTATATTAAAGATTAAAGATATTATATAATATATTATATTAAAGATTATAATATATTATATTTTTCTTTAAAAGATTATACTTACAGATCCCTACAATTTGTGAAGATTGATTCAATGAGAGGTAAATCATTCAATTGCATCGCTAGTCTAATTGCTTGTGGATATTGTCCAAATTTTCGATATAATTTACAAGCGACATGAAGAAGAGTGCTGTTCTCTGGATCAGCCACATATGGCACGCAGCTTGTAAGATAGAGACATACTCGTTGATACGCGCTTTCGTCGACGTATTGTTCTAGTAGATCAAGTCTTTCGATCTCCATTAACAGATCACACGCCTCTGTTTCCGCATTGTGTGCCATGTTATAGGGGACAATCTCATGTACCAAAGCAATCAGTTTCTTGTTTGTCGCCTCGACATTATCACCCGTAACCTCATCCCATTCTCCTGCCAACTCTCCTGACAAATGTCTAACATATTCATGTCCCCATTCACCAATTGCTAATGCGGAGCCTGTGAGCCTATACTTCAAACACTCTCGACCTTCACCCATGGTCATTGCGAGGACAGAGATAATGTCAGAACATAATTCTTTACATTTCACATTAGTCATCTTCTCATAGATATTCTTCATAGTATCATAGTGAGGCCGCATAAATTTCAATGGTTTTGGAACACTAGTCATTGATGTTGTTGACGCACGAATATGTGAACGCAAAGATTCTAGAGCAGGATGATACAGTTTAGTATTGGCATCCTGCAGACGCTCTACGAGCAGAGTTAATTCTTCCTGTAGAAGTTTATCTTCCTCTGACTGAAAAGTAAAATTAGGTTTCCAATATTTACGAATAAATTATATATTAAAATATAAATTAAAATAATAAATATTTTAATATGCATTCCAATATTTAAGAGAATAAAGATAAAGTATGTACTTTATTTTTTAACCATCGCTCTTTATTCAATTTTTTTTGTAGATAAAGAGACATTATCATAGAAAAAAAAATTACAAAAAAAACTGCACAGTAAATATTAATATATCAATTAATATTAATATTAATAATAATGATATATTAATAATATTAATATATCATTCAATAATAAGATACGTAGTAATAAAAGGTAACTTATTCAAATGTAAGATAAATTACAAGAAAAGCAGAAATTGTTTTACTATGTAACGATAAATTACAAGTACATATATGTGTGTACAGATTTAATTAATATTATTATAATTAATATTATTATAATATTAATATTATTAATATTATTATAGAATCACAGAAGCATTTTTCTTCAATACTAATGACACCAATCCCACTACTTTGACATAGGTTAATCTCTTACTAGGTCATTTTTATCGTCTTCCTTTCCATTCTTCATATCTTTGATCGGTTTCGTTTCTGTCTTTGTTTCCGGCATTTTACTTTTTAGATATTTTTTAAATAAATACGGCAAAGTAAAACACGATTCTCTCTGCGATCATTCACGGTTTCAGGTTAGAATGAATATTCAAGACGTTTTGCGAGTCACCATCATGGACACGCAACCCAGATAAGCTACTGCATGTTCGTAAAGGTACCATTTCATGGTAGCGACGCTAGCGCTATGTTTTTCGTCGCATTTGTAGTTCGATTTTTTTAACTACACTGCGCGACAACGATTCGTCCCTTTCTCGCGGGGCAAGGGGAGCGTAGCCTCTAACCAATCAGCCACTGCCACGCTGCCAGCTGATTGGTCACTTCTACGCTCCCCTTGTCCCGCGAGAGAGTGGCCAGGGAACGAATCGTTGTCGCTCAGTGTATGTACACTGCGCGACAACGATTCGTTCCTAGGTCCCTCTCGCGAGGCAAGGGGAGCGTAGCTTCTAACCAATCAGCCATTGCCACGCTGCCAGCTGATTGGTCACTTCTATGCTCCCCTTGCCCCGCGAGAGAGGGGTTACGGAACGAATCGTTGTCGCGCAGTGTACACTGATCACTCGTGGTCGCTCGTCGCTACCATGAAAAGGTACCTTTAGTGTTCGTCAATTTCCGCCATTATTCGTCATAGGGAGTGTCCGGCGATGTAGCGTCGCGTTTGTAATCAAATCGTTTTTATATATATTTGACATTATTTATTTTATCCCTTAAGTCTCATTCATGTCTTATCGTACGAGATCCGGCGTGTTTAATTAAATATCTCAATTGCAATTCTCACGGTGAATATCCCAAAACTAATTACCTTACATGTAAAACGAATGGACAAAGGTGGCACAGGTTAACAAGGTGGTCATCAACAGGGAGTGTCTAAGAGCTGAATCAATTCTACTTCTGCCATAATCACATATTTGTTGGACGATATTTTCAAGCAAGATTAATACTGTGAATTATAATTCGATACTTTTAAAATGTTTATTGCATAATAAGATATCCAGAATGTCTGATTTATTGAGTAACGTGGTATTTTTGTTAATTCTTTTACTACCTGTGTTTGCACAAAATATCTTGCACGAACCTTATGAGTGCCCACAACATTGGATACGATTTCAAGAATCATGCTATCGTTTTATCAAGAGTCCCCTGAGATCACGGATGGATGCGCGAAGGAACTGTCAGGCATTTCAAAGTGATCTACTTAGTATTAATACACTGGAGGAGCATAGATTCATACTCTATGAATTATTATGGCAGGATCCGCAACATCGTAGATGGTATACTGGAATAAAACTACAGAGTGGCTCATGGATAAACGAGGCTGATGGTACAGCTTTAATAAATATGGATAACGCCTTTCTACCTGAACCTAATGACAATATAATAGGAAGAGATTATTTGGCATATTCCTACTCTAATAACCTTCAGCGTTGGGGATTGGAGAAGGTCACTGGAAGAGAAGAGCTCTTATATATCTGCAAAGCATCCATCGTTATTCTTCATAACTTGGTAGAAGATGATCGTACTTATCAATATGGCATTGAAATCGATAACCCTCTTCAAATACCTAGGGGGCCATATTTTATAAAACAACCTATGAGCAAAGTATTTGATATAGCGAAAAAGAGAGTAAATAATGATGTCTCGTTGAGTTGTCTAGCGGGTGGCTATCCTACTCCAACCTATGAATGGTTTAAAGAAGATTATGAAAATGATCGGCTTATTGCGACAAAAATAGATCCTCTTTCAAATAACAGATATACTGTGAGCGGTGGAACATTGATTATTTATGAGCCCGAACAAGTAAAGATTCTTTTCAAATATATAATAAATATATTGATTATTTCATATTAATATTATTTATATTATAGTTAAAGATTATATTATATTATTAATTATGTTATTTATTTACAGACACATGACCGTGGCTCGTATCATTGCAAGGCTACTAATAAATTTGGTACAATTATATCTGAGAGTGTTGAATTATCGTTCGGATATATTCTAGAGTTTAATTTAAAACGTGGAGAGGAACGTGGAGATAATCATTGGGGTAAAGCAGTTTATTGCGATCCACCGCAACATTTTCCAGGTGTGAAATATTATTGGGCGCGCGATTTTTTCCCCAATTTTGTCGAGGAGGACAAACGCGTATTCGTTTCGAATGATGGAGCGCTTTATTTTTCCACATTGGAGACAATCGACCAAGGAAATTATTCGTGCAATGTTCAAAGTATCGCATCTGATAATGGACGTAATGGGCCATTCTTTCCATTAAGAGTGAATATGCACTGTAATTATTTTGAATTATTTTTTAAAAGTATCTGTGTAACACAATAGAATAGTAAATTTAATCACTTTTTGAATTTTTCAGCCTCATTTCAACAATTAAAGTTTCCCAATAATTTTCCAAAGGCGTTTCCGGAAGCACCAATGGCCGGAGAGGAAGTTAGATTGGAATGTATCGCATTCGGATAGTGAGTTTATATATATTTACATATATATTTTTATTTTATATATTATATAAATATATATAATTATATATATAATATATAAAGTGTACTAAAAATATTATATATTATATATAAAAAAATATATTTTATATATAGTATAGTATATATATAAAAATATATAATTTTTATAATTGTAATTAATAATTTATTTATGTTTAGTCCTGTTCCTTCATATAATTGGACAAGAAGGGGTTCTGTCTTGCCGCGCGGTGCGTATGCGACGAGTTACAATCGAGTATTGATAATACCTCGTGTCCGTGTGGAGGATCAGGGTGAATATGTTTGCCGCGTGTACAACGATAGATTATCAATCGAGAATTCCGTGCAATTAACCATACAAGCAGCGCCTAATTTTACTATTCCATTGGTGGACAAACACATGGATAACAGAGGAGATTTAACCTGGACTTGCGAAGCATTTGGTATACCAGATGTTACTTATAACTGGTTCAGAAATGGAGAAATTTTGGATATGTACACTCTACCGCCCGAAGATAGAGATCGTTACACTATACAAGATAATGTAATAAATATAAAGTATTTGGATCCTGAAAGGGATCAAGCTATGTATCAGTGTCGTGCGAAAAATCAGCTGAAGACAGTGTATTCATCAGCACAACTTAGAGTCCTATGTAAGTATTTATATATTTTTCAATTATCATGTCGGTGAAAAACACATAAGGAATAATGCTCTTTAACATTTCAGCGTTAAAACCTTCTTTCAAGAAACGGCCTATGGAATCTGAGACATATGCGGCAGAAGGTGGTAATGTCACAATTGTATGCAAACCCGAGGCCGCGCCCAGACCAAAATTTGTATGGAAGAAAGATGGAAACGTGATCGGATCAGGCGGTAGGCGGAGGATTCTGGAAACTGGAAACCTTATCATTAGCCCGGTATCGCGAGACGACGAAGGAACATACGTGTGCACAGCAACGAATCAATATGGCAGCGATGAAACTCGTGGACGATTAATTGTACTACGTAAGTTAATCATTTCATATGTTGGGTATCTTTATAAATTTAAAAAAATTATTGTGTCCTTAATGAAGACATATTACATAAGATACGTATATTAAGTTAAATTTATCAATTAACCGAATTTTAATGATTTATCATTAATGCATATTTATGCATATTTAAAATTGTTCAAAGGTTGATTAATTTAAAATTAATTTAAAATTACTCATACAGGTGGACCAGAACTTATTGAAAGATTGCCGCCACGTTTAATTATGTCCTATAATAATAATCAGACATTGCGTTGCTTAGGCAATACAGATGAAATGTTAGATGTGGCGTATATTTGGAGGCATAATGGTATGCGTATCCGCGATAAAGATTTGGAAAATAATCGACATTGGCACATTGATGGTGAATATTTAGACATTATAAACGCTACATTTGCTGAAAGCGGCGAATACGAATGTATTTTGAAAAGTGCTGTTGGTGAAATATCGAGCAAGACCGATCTGATCGTGAACGGACCACCCGGACCGCCTGGTGGGGTACAAGTTGTGAATATCGTCAAAATTTCAGCCACATTACGATGGACTGATGGCGCTTTCAACGGCAAAGTAATAACTATGTACACAATCAGTGCACGTACAAATTGGAATCGTACATGGTTTCCTCTCGTAGAAAGTAAGTTCCGGTTCTTTACTAATTATAATTCTTAATTATAATATATATATATATATATATATATATATATATATATATATAAAATTATATAATATATTTTATAATATAATATATATTATACAAAATAAATAATATATATTATGTAATATATTTCTTAATTATAATATATAATTCCTTATGAGAATTATTGACAATTAGGATACTTGTTAAATTATCTTTTTAATATATTTATAATTCTCTGAAAATACTTCAAAGCAAGTATATTTACTTTGCTTTATTTTACATGAATGTATTATTATTCTTAGATATCACAGCTATCGAAATGGATAGATATAATGGCCGAAAAGAGGCATTTTTGGAAAACGTTTTAAATCCTTATACCACATATGAATTTCGCATATTAGCCTTTAATGAACTTGGTTATGGTCCACCATCGTCTCCTTCACCTCAATATAGTACTCCACCTGACAAACCTACAAAATCGCCATCGAATATTAGTGGTGGTGGAGGAAAGATTGGAGACCTTACAATTACATGGGATCCACTCCCCTCGTCTGATCAAAATGGTCCTGGAATCTATTACAAGATATTCTGGCGTCGTAAAGGACACGATTCAGAGTACCAATCGTTACCTCTGAGGGAGTACGGCAATGTCGGTAGCAGCGTCGTGCCAATTCAATCGCAGTTTTACTATACAAAATATGAAGTAAAAGTACAAGCGATTAATGTGATAGGCGAGGGTCCTATATCGGAAACTACGACAGTGTACAGTGCGGAGGATATGCCGCAAGTCGCACCGCAACAAGTATACTCAATGAGCTATAACAGTACCAGCTTAAACATCACTTGGCAACCGATTGAACAAACTCGTGAGCGAGTGCGAGGCAAGTTGATTGGACACAGGATCAAGTACTGGAAGGAAAGCGTCCCCGAAGAACATGCTACTTATTATTTATCGCGTACCACTCGTCCTTGGTCGTTAGTAGTTGGATTGCAACCAGATACATATTATTATGTAAAGGTAAAGTGAAGAAAAATTTTTTACTTGAATTTCTACTTTAGAACATATATGAAAAAATTTGCTATAAAAGCTATTTAATTAAAGAATTAACTTATTAAAATAAATAAATATATATTAGTCATTTAAAAAATAAAAACGAAAAATATTTGAAATTATGACAAATTTAAATCTAAACAAAGATCATTAATTTTGTAAAGGTGATGGCCTACAACTCCGCTGGGGAAGGTCCGGAAAGTGAACGGTATCTGGAGCGAACTTACCGCAAAGCGCCGCAGAAACCGCCGTCTTCGGTGAACGTGTACGGCGTGAATCCATCAACGGTGAGAGTCGTTTGGCGTTATGTACAGCCGAGTTTAGAAGAGGAACCATTAATCGGATACAAAATACGTATATGGGAGGTCGACCAAGACATGAGCACGGCGAATGATACAATAATACCAGGCGGCTCTAAACTGGAAGCCGATATCAGGAATTTAAGTCCGGGCAAGGCATATCACTTAAGAGTGCTCGCGTTTAGTAACGGTGGTGATGGCAGGATGTCGAGTCCCACTCATACATTCCAAATGGGCGATGCTGCAGCCTTCAGGAGCAGTGCTGGAAACAAGATTCTGGACGCCGCCTTAGGAATAACTTTCTTACTATTCTTGCGGGTCTTTGACTATATATAGTGTAAAGTAATCTCTAATAATTGTATAAGCCATAAGATTTAACGGCTCTAAATTTTATACAGATTTCTTAAATGAATTATCTAAAAAATTTAATAGACACGAAACAAATTTTAAAAAATGAGATTTATAATAAAATATTATAGATTTCTTTAATCACATATACTTAAATTGCTTAAACAATTTAAATAATTAATCTTAAATAATTTCTAATCATTTTTTTGATAGCCTAAAAATTAATATTGCATATCATTAGTTTATCTAATGCAAAGACAGTCAGTTTTAGCAATGATAACTTAATGCTTAAGTACTTCCATAACTTCTTTTTAAGAACCATCACGATATTATGTGACAAAAAGTCCAAGATTGATCTGCATTTGATTCTAATAATCAGAATAATATGTGTGGTAAATTTAGCATAATTTGTGTTTTATATAATATAAAAAAGTTACTTACATTTTCTTTTGACACATATAACATTTAAAAATTTTTATGAATAATATATTATTTCTTTATTATATAACTAATTATATATACGAAATACTTTAAGTAATTTGTGCTAAATTTTTATATATGTTTTTATCTATTTTTATATCTATATTTTTTTATATGTGTATATTTTTTATTACTCTCATTCTCGTAAAGCGAATATTATATATATTATTATATGATTTCAAGTATTACATTCATTCAAAAATTGCCAAGTTTTATATAACTGTAGAATCATATTCTATAGTATATTTTCAAGATATAAAGAAAATAATTTGACATAAATCATATGTATATATTGAATAATGTAAAATTAAAATTAATTTTAAAGATATAAGAATTCTGTTGACCTTTAGACTTTTACATAAATTATAAAATGAGCATTTTATATTAAAAACGCATTAAAAATATTCTTTAAATACTGTCTTTAACGATGTATAATTATACTAAAAGTTTCGTTTATTTGCCAAAAAAACAGAAAGCATATTAGTGCAGAAATGTTTCGTTATATTACATAAACAGTTTAAAATAACAAAAATATACAAATCTTGAAACATGCAATTGTATAATCTAAAACAAAAAATTGTATATCTAAAACAAGGCACAGATTATGAGAAATAAATAATAATAAATATAGATCTAGAACAAAAGAGGAAATACAATTAAATAAATTATAATAAATTGCGCTCGTGCAAAAATATGTATTCATTGCTAAGTTACACATATTATATATTAATTTGCTACGATTTACGAGAAATGAGTAAGAATTAACAAAGACAATTAACAAAGACTAAGGCCCGGTTGCACCATCATTATGTTAGATTTAAGCGAAACTTAAATATATGTCTCTCTTTATTTATTTAGAAAGAAAGATAAAGATAGACATATATTTAAGTCTCGCTTAAAGCTAAAATAACGTTGGTGCAACCAGGACTAAGAATTATATAATGTCATAATGTATAGAGCAGCGTAATTTTCCGTCCATTTATACAAAAGTAGATAATGAACACTTGACTAATTTTGATAATACTGCAAATATTTGTTAATCACTGAACTATTCTAATATTCTGTGAATTATTCTAATCATAATTAATTTTTAATTACCATAACATTAAAAAACAATAATAAACATAATAATAAACTTTCTAAATAGATCTCTTTTTTTTTACAGATACTTTTTGCTTAAGTTTTATCAGATATATGTATGTATAATATTATTATATTAGGATAGTTCAGAGATATTATATGAAAAAAGTTTATATAAATCATAATAGTGTGTTCATACTATTATACTACTATATATCTCAGAAATTATATATATTTAGGTATTATATATCTCTATATTTAAAAATGTAAACATGTTTAACATTTGAATACATTTTATATAGTAGTATATGAGAAATTTCTTTACATAAATTTATTATTCATATTGTGTATAAAAATGATTTATATATATAATGCAAATAATGAACAGAATTTTGATAGGCGCGTGCATGCGCATGTGTTAGAATATAATTGTCGCTAAAAATAATTGACATTGATTGCTTAATTAACATAATAGATATAGTGGTACATTTATTATTCCGAACATACTTTCTTTTTATGGATTTTTGTGCAGAGAAATATACATTATATAACATAATTTTTAAAATATTAACATTGATATTCTTTTCTTTCTGTAATAATTTTATAATTTGCATATATATATTGTTAGTTATTTGCATCTTTTTAACATATTTTTAACATATTTTTCTGTTTAAAAGAGACTTCACATATGTTAATCTCACATATATATGCTTCATTACTATTTCATGATTATATTATTTAACAAGCAACACACACGTGTATATATATATATTTTTTTATTTTTTTTTATTCGAGATTCGTAGGTGCGCATACATTGCTATTAATGAAAAATGTGTCACTGTCATGAGTAAATATATTTACTCTTATTCTTCTTTTTTTCCATAGTAATGTGAAAATATGATAATTCATAATATTTTCATAATAATGTGAAAAAAATATAATCCATGGCATTTTCATAGTAATGTGAAAAAAAAAATATAATAATCCACATTACATTGTTCATATGTACCGCCATAGACAGCACGTGTATCGCACATGTGACATCACACACGATGGACGTAAATTTATCGAGTTTGTATTTGTGATATAGCCGGTGAATTGTTTCTTTAAGACTTGAAAAAAAGCAGAGAGATAACAATATTGAGTGATACATATAACTACAAATGTACGTATGAGAACAAAAAATAATTGTTTAAGCGTCAATAGCGTTGATAGAACGAAAGGGGTACATTTGTGTTGAAACTTTTAGAGGTTAATCATGCTGCGAATATTTGGTCGCTCGGCGCATCTTCTCAAGAGGACCACGAAGATCGTCTGCGCGTCGAGCGTGAGGAATTTGAACCTGTTGGAATATCAGAGCAAAGAGCTCCTGCGCGATTCGGGTGTCTCTGTACAAAACTTTGCTATCGTCGACGACTTAAGCAAGACGAATTCTGCTTTGGAAAAACTACGTAAGTATCTCAGCACTCCTTCCTATATTTTGCATCTGTTAATATGTAAAAGAATTTTATCCTCCCAGTACAAAATTAAGTTTCAAATATGGAATGATCCATTAAACTGTCTACTGTGTCAATTTATTAATAATTATTGACAATCATAAGTAACTGTGTAACGACAAATTATTTGTATGTGTATATATATAGTACTTATTTTATAAGTTACTAAGTAAGTTTACCCATTTTTGCAGATGCGGATGAATTTGTCATTAAAGCTCAAGTCTTGGCAGGAGGTCGTGGAAAGGGTTGGTTTGATAATGGGTTCAAGGGAGGTGTTCATCTCACCAAAGAGTAAGTTTGACAACTAGGTCTTTGTAAAAATATTTTGCAAAATGTCTCTTATGCATACAGCTCCAAAACATTTTATTTAATCTTTGTTATACTATATAATGAGATATTTATGTACTAATGCCAATTATATGTGTAAAAACAACATGATGAAAAACGAAAAATAACATAAGACAATTTTTTTATTACATTTCATATTTTTAGAGATGTCATGTATATATTATATATATCATAACTTTTCTATTATATATATGTATATATATTATAAAAATTGTATATATATTAAGATGATGTTTTATATTCATTATGTCTTTCTTTTCCTTCTAATAGTCGTAATGCTGTTAGCAATTATGTGAAGAATATGTTAGGTCATCGTCTGATTACTAAACAGACTTCGAAGGATGGCATACTAGTGCAGAAGATTATGATAGCTGAGTCAGTAGATATTGCATATGAGACCTATATCTGTATTCTCATGGATCGTCAGTACAATGGCCCTGTGCTGATAGCATCTCCAGCTGGTGGAATGGATATTGAAACAGTTGCGGAGAAATATCCTGAGAAAATCAAAACTGTTCCATTGGATATCTATTATGGAATCGATGATGAAATAGCACAGGACGTGTGTACTTTTTTGGGATTTTCCGATCCGGATGTCCTTAATAAAGCTATATATGAATTGAAAAATTTGTGGAAGCTGTTTGTGGATATTGATGCGCTGCAAATTGAAATCAATCCACTGGTGGAAACGACAGATAAGCAAGTGATAGCGGTAGATGCAAAAATTGCATTTGATGATAATGCACAATTTAGACAGCAAACTCTATTTGCTTTAGAAGATGTCAGTGAAAAAGATCCCAGAGAGGTGGATGCATCACGATATAATTTGAATTATATCGGAATGGATGGCAATATAGGATGTTTAGGTAAAATACATTATATTATTATGATTACAATGAAAGTAAATTAAATATATAAAGTAAAAATATATAAAATATATAAAACAAGTAAAAAAAAATTATGAAATAACAATGAATATATCAATGAATAAGTATGAATCAACTATAAGTATATAAATCTTTATTTAGTGAATGGAGCTGGTCTAGCTATGGCTACAATGGATATTATTAAGTTAAATGGAGGATCGCCAGCTAATTTTTTAGATGTTGGCGGTAGTGTGAGAGAAGATCAAGTTTTTCAAGCATTTAGAATCCTCAGTGAAGGTAAAATATAAAATTTAGAATGGTTCAAGCATGAATATAAAATATAAATTTCTTTTCTTTCTTCAGATCCAAAAGTCAAAGCTATTCTCGTTAATGTTTTTGGAGGAATCGTGAATTGCATAACGATAGCAAGAGGAATTATTGCTGCATCACAAAACTTAGGACTTCAAATACCACTTGTTGTGAGACTAGAAGGTAAGACGTGTATCGATATTCTTTTTCTTTAATTTCTCATTATTTGTTATTTATAAATCCTATAATTTTATTATATATTTCATTTTCGCTTATGTGTTCTCGTAATTTACAAAAATAAATTTCAAAAGTATTTTTGTTGCAATTTATTTTTTATTAGGCACTAATGTGACAGAAGCCAAAAAGGTTTTGGCCGAATCTGGATTGCCTATTCTCACAGCGAATAATTTAGATGAAGCAGCGAGAAAAGCGGTAACCTCTGTAAATACATAATTGTATTAATATAATGATACATATTTTATATTATTTCGATTTATACCTATTTAAGACTGGAAATCTATAGTTTGAATAAGAGAACAATAATGTTAGGACTTGAAGTAAGAAAAACTATATAATTTTTCATGTTTTTATAATATCAGAGAACAATAATGTTAGGAATAACTTGAAATAGGAAAAATTATATAATTTTTTATATTTCCAAAATATCACTTTTTGAGATATTTTTATAACTTAGATACTTTTACAATTTGAGTGTACATAAGCATCTAAATACTGCCTACTAATGTTCATTGCTCTTGTACATTTTATTATTCAAGCATAGAGTAGTTGTAGTCTGATTTGATCATTGCTCAAATTGACATACATACACACACACACACACACACACACATATATATATACATACATACTTTGATCTCATTTTTATTAACATCTTCAAAATTCTAAACACAAATCTATTTTTATTGACGAGATAAGATTATTATTAGAATTTTTAAGCAGTCTCAATTTTTAAGTTGTCTCTTCTTTATTAAAGCTAAATCAAAATATATCATTATCTTATATTATGTTTGTGTATTTTACATTGTTGATTATGTGAAAATATTTAATAATAATATATCAGCATATATAGAATAAAGATTCAAGAACGATATTGAATCCAGGTATAGAGGTTTATATTAGTGACATTCAATTTTTATTATTGCCTTCTCCCCATTTGTTTGAATTCATTTCAATTAGAATAACTATTTATTTATCTAATTTATTTTGTTTGAGATAAATGGTACTGTGTAAAATTAGAATTTTATTTGGTAGTAAACAGGTAAAATAGATAATTAACAGTTGATTATAGTTTACATTATAGCTAAATTTAATTATGTGCTTTATGTAATTATATGTTTTGTTTCTGTAGGCCACTTTCTAATAAACACAAATTATTTTGCATGGTTAAAATTAGCAGTAATGCAAAGTTAATTAACACATGTATATACGTTTTTATTGTAAAGTACATTTATTTTTATTAGATTTAAAATTGATTTATATTGAGAACTTCTTTAAAGTTTAGTTTATCTAAGAAGTTCGATTTTATTCTTATATGATTTTTTTCTAATATTTTGTTATATAAGAATCTTTTGTATGAATCTTGTTTTTATTTTATTATACACCTATATTATATTTATTTCGTTACATATAATTTTTTATATTTACTATTTGTTAAAAACATAGAATTGAATCTCGAAATATGTAATAATATATTTCAGAAACTTTAAAATGAATGAAAAAAGAAAATTTATGTTTATATTTTTAATTAATATAGAAAATTTTCTTTATACATATAAGATTTTTTTATTGTTATTATTAATTATTGTATTGCATCACATTTATATAAGCGTTTGCAAACAAATTGCATATTTCTTTCTCTCTCAATCAAACGTTGCAGCATTAGATGCACTCTATTTAATACTATTTTTGGTTTGAAGCGTTTAATGAAGCGTTGAATCAAGGCGAAGAATCTTGCGCTTCGAACGAAAAATAGTGTCAAGCAGTGCATCTTTTGAAAGAAGAATGTTTCTTTCTCTCTAATGTAAGAATTAAAGAGAGATAAAGATATCAGAAAAAAACAATCTGTACACGCACCATTTATTAAGTTAAATTATACTTAGCGATCCATGATGGCATTATATACTTTGAAAAAAAAAGGAAGAAAAAGATGATGAAAAATTTGTGAATAAGACTGTGAATTCAACGTAGCTTTCAATTATCTATACTAATCCGTCATTAATGCCATCATTGAAAAGTGCCTGATAGTCAATCAAATCTCTAAATTCTCTGGCAGAGCGAGAATTAGGTTCTTCGCATCGATTGTATCAAAGACTGAATCCCGCATTCAAGGCTCACCGATTGCGCGAGGCGTAACGAAAGGAAAGAGGTGTAAAAGCCGCGCGCGTAATTGATTTTTAACCCATGTATGGTCGTTGCGTTTTTATAAGCAGAAACTGTTTTGGTATGAACGATAACTCGCCTTGAATGTACGACATTCATTGAGAGAACGATCCATATATGGATTTTCAACATAAGATTAAGATTATACAGGGCGTTAATTTGGATCGCACTTTTTATAAATAAGCGTATGCGGATCGATGTAGAACTTAAAAGTACTTAAGATAGCGAAAAGAAACGCGTATTTTCAAAATAAAATATTTTCTAATTTGTAAACCGTTGTGTTCCGTTATTCTTTTCGCTCTCTGAATATTTTCGCAATTTTTTAAAAACTATATAAATAACATAAATTTTTATAAATATTCTGGACAATATAATTTTCCAAAGGTATCTCCTAATCTTTCTAAAGTATCTTTGGAAATTATATTAAGATTATGCAATTGTAAAAAATTATGAAATGTCATTTTCATCGTAATGCGATTAGGTTTCGCGCTAGGAAACGAGATTCGTTTCCTCGAGGAAAGAGGCGAGAGACGTTAAAGCTGCTATTGTGCGCGCTAAAGATCCGGATAGCGAGAACTTGATATCGCGGTGACTCGTAACCATGATTGTTTTAGTCTTCCTCTTCAGTGTCACGTCAGCCAGCGGTTGACCGGCTCCGTTTCGCTTTGTGTGTTTTCTCCTCTCATATACCCGAATATAAACCCGTTCCTCGCACGCGTCTACGGGAAGGGTGGACGGCGACGGGAGGATCCGGATGGTCCCGATGCGTGTGCGTATATATATAGACCGACCCCCTGCCCCTCGCCTAAGGGTACGGGCGAGGGAATGCGTACTATTCTCGGACGAACTTCACGAATCCGAGTAAGACGTGGTGCTCGACTCCTGGTTCGCGGACGGCGAAGATACCAGTAATCGTCTACGAACCGCGTCGTGTCGATCGAGAGCACTCGCGTCAATCCGCCGATTCGAGGAGATCGCGATTATTGACGTGTGCATGTAAGATCCGCGTTGGCATTCAGTCCCGGTTGACATCGGTTTGTCTGATTGCGATTAATTGCTGTCAAATTTCGCGAGGTGGAAGTGAAAGAAACGTCGAGGTATAAGATTTTAACGCGAAATTCTTTTTTTTAATGTCAAGGAAACAATTAATTGTTTCATCTGAATTAATCTTATCATTTTGTACGTAAATAAGATTATATCTTATGATATCCGCGTATACATTTTTTCTTAGCTAAGACATTTGAAAGATTATTATTTATCTAATTTTCTAATTTTCGGATTGTTGTTTAAATTAAATCAAAACTTTTAAATTTCTAAATATTGATTCAAAAGTTTAGAAGATTTTATTCTTCGTATTTTAAAAGATTTTGAACTTTTGTACATATTCCAATTTGAATTTTTACATATAATTAAATAATATTATAAATTTTCGTTAAAAAAAATTCAAAATTCGCGTTGAACAATTTATTAAAATTTCACGAGGCATCTTATAATTTTAATACGATTAATTACGATCAAAGAGCAGACAATCATATAAATTAATTTATCAGTGTGCTGATTGAACTTGATTTTGATATTAATATTAGTTATAATAATAACACTTTGTTAAATACTAAAAGTATTCTTTTTTCAAGATTTATTAGTCAAATACTTAAATATATATTGTGATATTAAGATTTGGAGAACAAGAAATCTTTGATAAATCTTTAACGAAGAAATTTTCTTTCTTTGATGAAATCAAAATCAGCTTCGCTTTAAAAAGAAAATAGAACGTTTATATAAAAAAACAAATTTTAAAGTTTAAATATATTAATTAAAGTTTAAATATATTAATTATTAGGGATAAATATTTTTTTAAATTTCTATATATGTGTCATATATGGTGCAAAAATAATTCTAAAGTGACAAAATGTGTATATATTTATACATATTCACTTTTTGACTATCCCAGACACGTCGAATTAATTAGATTAAATCGTGCAAAATGTTTATTTTTTGCGATTATAAAACTCCAATACTAAAATTTTAATTTTAATAATTTATTAATATTTTATTCTTTCAATTAATTTCAAAATTAATTTTAAGGAAAATTTGCTTTCGTAATTTGTTTGAAATTTGTGAAATTGAGAAATCATTTGCAGTCCATTTGCGATTTATCCATGCTGATTGCGAGTGCATTACGGTTTTGAAGAGCACAGTAGTGCGGAGAGGGTTTTAAGTGGAACACGAGAGAGATTCGCGAAGACGTGCGACTCCACCGACAGTTTTTCGTGGGCCACTGATACTGAATCATTCGATTGTACGAGGTAGAGAATTCTTTTAATTAAATGAGTGGATTTTTATTTATGTATGTGACGTGATTATTTTCTAAGTATTTTAAAGTTTACCAAGGGACTGGTGGTATCTATTTGTTTCAAATTTGATCCGTTTCACGAATTTAAGTTTTGCGTTATAAATTATAAATTTTCTATTTTTGCTGATTGTGCAAAATAAATTTTTTAGAAATTTGTAAACACAATAAAAGAATTAATTAATACGCGTGCGTTTGTAAAACAAACATTTTTTTATTGTTTTTAAAATAATATCTTCTATTAATTTATATGTGTTCAAAAATAATCTCGTTTTATTCGTAATTATCCTAATGATCGATTTTATAGCATTAATTAATCTTGTTTATATTGACAAAAACATATACATAAGATTTAATTCTTTTTATTTATTTTCACATTATTTGTATATTTTGATTCGAAAGAATATAAATTGTTTCAATATAAAGAGATATAGGAGGTAAAAAATTCGATGACAGCTTGATCGTTCGTCTTACATTGAACAGAGTGGTATCTTGAATCTTCTTGACTGAAGTATCGCTATAAAAAATAATTTTTTAGCATCATCAGGTCATTTCATGCAATGATTTTTCATATAGTATAGACAATTACAGATAACAATATATATGTCACAATATATATATATATATATATATATATATATATATATATATGTGTTATTATAAATTACATTGACAATTTAATATTATACAATTATACAATTATATTTATACAATTTATATATTTTTATTTCACGATATAATATTAAACGAAAAAAATATTGAATCAATTAATTATGGAGAAAGAAAAATAATTGGTTATAACATTTTTTTCACAAATACTATTTTACATGTTCAATTATATAGTTTTATTAATTTCTTTATATATTTTATTAATTTCTTTAATTTTAGAAAATTCTAGAAAATTATTTTTTATCAAGAGATATTTTTATTCATTTATCATGCTGAAATATATTAATTAAAATGTATTTTATACTATACTATTTTATATTATACATTGTGTGCATTGCATTTATTATTATACGCAATGTTTTATTCCACAATATATTTCGTAAACTAAAAACTAAATTGTCTTTCTGTAAAAAGAATTGAAAATGCTGATAACTCTCTGTTCAGATTTTGGACAATGTTCGTGTTTATGAAGTTCATCTTTTGGATATAATATTAGACCTTGGAAAAAAGTCACGTATACATGCGCATAACTAAAAATAACTTGGCATCTCGCCGTGCGTCGCGAATCGTAATTTAGCGTGCGTCTGATTAATTTTCTATTA